TTTACTGGTGAGACAAACTGCTCTGCCTTTTGCAGGCTATATCATGGTACATCATAAGTATTCACAGTGGATTCACTGGTTCACAGACTGGCAAAGCCCAGACTGAGCAAATGTATGTTATTATTTTTGTTATACTTATCCTATCTTTCTTTATTCATTAATTTTTTTATTATCTATGATTCTGTACTAGAATAGAACCTGTTGCCATAGAGTAGATTCCAACTCATAGAGACTCCACGTGTCACAGAGTAGAATTTAGCTCCATTGGATTTTCTTGGCTGTAATCTTTTATGGAAGCCGATTGCCAGGTCTTTCTTCCATGGCACCACTGGTGAGTTCAAACCTCCAACCTTTTGGCTAGTAGTCAAGCGCAGATCATATGCACCACTATTATAGACTGAATAGTGTCCCCCAAAAAGAAGCAAGTAGAAATATAGGGACTTCCTACCACCAAGAATGAAGAGCTAGGAGCTTAGTGAGTCCTTTGGACCTGGGTTCTCTGAGCTGAGAAACTTTCCTAGGACGAGATTGATGACAAGGATCTTCCCTGAGAACCAACAGAGAGAGAAAGACTTCCCCCAGAGATGGCGCCCTGAATTCAGGTTCTAGCCTCCTAGATTGCAAGAGAACAAATTTCTGTTTATTAAAGCCATCCACTTGTGGTATTTCTGTTATAGCAGCACTAGATGACTGAGACAACCATCCAGGAACCTTCCACTAAAACATACTCTCATACTCTTCCCATTAGCAGGCATCCTATCTGTCTTGATTCCTGTAGCCAGCAGCATCTGAAGCAATGTTTGTCACACATAAAAGTTCGCAATAAATATTCTTTGAAAGAAATACCTTCTCTTTTGACAATTTTTCACACGTGCGGTTTGTTTTGTAACCGAAGTCCTAGCAATTATTTAGCTTTATCTTTAACTGGTTTTAGCATTCACTGTCCGTACTTTTATATCATAACTTCCCCTTCCTGGGTTTTTAATTAATTTTTCAATGAGTTGGGATATATCTTCCAAATGATTTCTTCAGTAATGGAATGGTATGGAGGGTACAGAGCCCTGGTGGAGCAGTAGGTAACAGCTACAGCTGCTAAGCAAAAGGTTGGCAGTTCGAATCCACCAGCTGCTCCTTGGAAACCCTATAGGGCAGCTCTATTTTGTCCTATAGGGTCACTATGAGTCGGAAGTGACTTGACTTGACCAAACGGGTTTTGTTTTTTGTTTTTTGTTTATGGAGGGTACATTGTCTGAATCATGGTCTATATAAAATTGTCTTTCTATTAGCTTCATGCTTGAAAGATAACTTGCCCAGGTATTGCCCTGGTATATAATTATTGAAAATCTCTGAGGTTGGTACTATGTGTTCTAACAACATCAACAACTGTGTGTTCTCCTGGCATTTAAAGTTGTGTACTGAAGAACTCACTTTGATCAATCAGATTAGTAACTCCTTGTAGGGAGGAATGGAGATGAGGTAGAGGAAGGAAATAGAGGCCTCTTATTTATCCTGATCTCTACCACCTGCCCCAGACATACAGTAATAAGGATGGCAAGAAGGGGAAAGTTTAGAGAGATATTCAGAAGTAAAGTCTACAGAACCTGGTGACTGACTGTTTTGGAAAGTAAGCAAGAAAGAGTTCTAGGGAGTCTTCCAGATTTCTTGCTAGGGGGTTGTCATGGATTGAATTGTGTCCCCAAAAAAATATGCGTATCAATTTGGCTAGGCCATGATTCCCAGTGTTGTGTGGTTGTCCTCCATTTTGTGATTGTAATTTTACATTAAGAAGATTAGGGTGGGATTGTAACACCACCCTAACCCAGGTCACATCCCTGATCCAATCAATGTAAAGGGAGTTTCCTTGGGGTGTGGCCTGCGCCACCTTTTATCTGTTATAAGAGATAAAAGGAAAGGGAAGCAAGTGGAAAGTGGGGAACCTCATACCACCAAAAAGCAGTGCCGGGAGCAGAGCACATCCTTTGGACCCGAGGTTCCTGTGCAGAGAAGCTCCTAGTCCGGGGGAAGACTGGTGATGACGAGGACCTTCCTCTAGAGCCGACAGAGAGAGAAAGCCTTCCCCTGGAGATGACGCCCTAAATTTGGACTTCTAGCCTACTAGACTGTGAGAAAATAAATTTCTCTTTGTGAAAGCCATCCACTTGTGGTATTTCTGTTACAGTAGCACTAGATGGCTAAGTAAGACAGGCGTGCTGTAGGGGAAAAACATCATAAAGTTTAGTAAAGCAAAAAGAAAGTTTTATTTGGCATATGTTCAAAAAGGCAGAAGTGGGAAGCCGACAACCACGCTGCCAGAGCCATGTCTGCCCAAGTCCAAGGAATATTACAGAACGACAAAAGTGGGAAAACGGGCAAGCATGCTGCTACAGCCACGTCTGCCCTAGTCCAAAGAATATTACAGAGTCATCGGTATATATTAACGTTACAAATGGGCAAAACCATTAAAAGTTTAGCCTTTTCAGGTTGGCTAGAAGCTGTGATCCTACATTTTGAATTGTCTTTCTAACAATCATTGGTACAGGTTTCAGTAACGAGAGTCAGGAGGGTCTTCTTTGGTCCAACAAATTTCTATTCACTAAATGCTAATGGAAAAAGGTAAGAATGGAAAGTGTTTTGTGTTCTGTTTGATGGGCTTTATGTGAAAGTTTTCCTAAAAGATATTTTCTAAGATTTTCTTAGCTATTGTCTTTATACCTCAGGGCCCAGTTGATGTGTCCTTGTGAGCCCAGCTCCAGCTGGGTCACATTCTGTATGCTCAAGGACAGGGAATAATAACTCCAATATTATTTCCTAAATCAGGGGCCTTCCTAATTCCTGCTTTAAACTTGATGCAGGGTGAATGTAACACGTTTTCAATCCTCCTCTAAGCTCTTCCTTTCTCTCATCATCATCTTTCAATTTGTAACTGGACTGTATCTTTAGTGTTCTTCAAAGTCCCCACTCACTGGACACTATAACTCTGAAAAGTCTGGGAGAATTTGAGGCTTATCATTCCTGCTTCACACACTCCTTTCTTAGCGGCTCCAACCTTTGAATTTTATTGTACTTTAACCAACTATTTCTCGGTGCTTATCGCACTGTATTGTAATTGTTTGCCTACTTGTATGTATCTCCCAGAATGGGATCATCTTAAGGGGCATAGCGTAATGTTCATCCTTGTACTTTCAATGCTTGATACTGAAAAGAAGCTAAAGCAGCATTTATAAAATTAATGGTCATATACAAAAAACAAATGCTTGTTACATAAAAGGGTTTGTAGAATTGCTGAGATTGCTGTGCTTGAAAGCACTTTAAGAAAATACAGCTGAAGCAGAATCTTCAGAATACTACCGACTGCTTAATCATTCATTCATTCATGTGTCCATTCATCAACACTGTATTGAGGTACCAATCATCGTGCTGGGGTTGAAGATACAGAGATGAATAACAATACCCCTGCTTTGGAGATGCCCGGTGACTAACAGAGAAACTGCATATTATTTATCTCCTCATGAGGGCAAAAGTTGACCTTGAGACGGCCGTGCAGACCTGTAGAGAAACTTCAGAAGGCAGCGAGTAGGCAACCAAGGCGTTTTTTGTTGAATAAACCTCGTTGCTTCATCAAATGAACTTTATAAACAAGAAGATAAAAATTTAGTTGTATGAAAAAAAAAGTTCAGAAGCACCAGTATTACACTATAGCATTATTGCAGGGAAACATATCGCCAACATCTTGGCTAAAAATGGTTGTCTAAAGTTGAACTGGGATGCAAAATAGAAATGTATTTCTATTTGAATTCAGTCTATCTGAACAAGAGCGTGACAGTCCAGAAGAGTCGGGGATGGGCCGTTTTAGAGTTGGGCATGGGCCTCAGCGTTGAATAGCCTGTAAACTAGGAGACTGGCTGAGAACGGAGGCCGCCTTAGCCACCAGAAGGTGACCTCCGGGTTTGGGGAGCGGGGAGGGCGTTTGCACATTTGAGCCCTTGTCCTTGAAGGGGATTGAACGAACCGAGGGGAGGGGGTAGGCGGTGCTCGGGTTTCCAATCACAATAGAGAAACCTAAGAGGCTGCGGGAAGTGTGGGGCCCCGCCTCCTCCTCCCTTCCTGCAGATCCTGCGCCAGAGGAGTCACACGCACGCTGCTGACACTGTCTTCGCACGACTCTTCCTGCCGTCTTGAACGCCTTCTGTCTCCGGGTAGGTGCCCACTCAAGACCCTGAATCCTGGGTCACGGACGAACGGGGTGGGACGTGCCGGGGAGTCCTTGTGTGACAAGACTGGGGAAGGACCAAGAAGGACATCTGCCTTCTGCTTCCACTCGGGGGCCCTCAGCCTTGAGCATCCGGACTGGGGTCCTGACTCAGCCGCTCGGTTTGAGGCGGCAGGCCGGTGCTCTGGGCAAAGGAGCAGAAGGTGGCGCACAGGGATTGCGCGAGGGCCAGGTTTTGTCCCCACCTCAGCAGGGCTCGCCTCTGGCCTGTGCTTTCTCGGGGAGAGACTTGTTGCATTTGCAGGTAAGCCGGCCCTACGTGTCCTTGATGGTTCATAGCGGCCGCTCCCCCCCCCCCCCCCCCCCGCCAGTGGCTCGTGGCAGGAGCCCGGGCACGTGCCCGAAGAGGTAGGGAAGGGAGAGGTAACGAGGTGGCAAGGGAAGGCTGGCCGGTCTGAGCCAGGGTACTGGGATCTACTACCTCGGAAATGGAGAAATGCCTCCAGCGATTGTGGGATAACGGTAAAGCCTCGGATGATGTGCCGGCTTGGCCATGCATTCCCGGCTGCAGGCGCAGCCCTTCCCGGAGCTATTGTCGGCTCTTTGGCCTCCTTTCTGGATGCCGCCGGAGCTTTGTTTACTTTGCCAGCTTTGGGTAAAGGTTTAGACTTTCCCCTAGAGATCTTCTCCGAGGAGATCTGTGGTTCCTGCCGCCCCTTGTGACCTGCTGCTCTGTGCTGCCTGCACCAGGAGGAAGAGGCGGCTGTGGGCGGCGAACCTTGAAAGCTGCAATTAGGGCCGGGAGAGAGGGGGAGGGGGAAGCCGGCCCTTGCCTGGTGGAGGAATTAGATGGCAAAACATGGATTTTTAAAATGTTAGACTTGACATATTCTGCAAAGAGAATCTTTGTTTCTGAGTTGAAGGCGTTGGTTAATTTCTAAGGGTTTATAGCTACAGGGATGGAGGGGGCTGAAAAGGACCAAGAGTTTTTTTTTACACTGCTTGTTTGTCATTTTTCCTTACAGCCACCACGCTAGTCTTGGCACAGGCCTGCTTCTAATGCGCCGTCTTTTCTTCTAATTTATTATAACTCCGAATAAAGGAAAAAAACAACAACAAAGAAAAGCACCTTTCGCCAGAAAAATCTGAAAGAAAATTGGTACTGGCTAGAGCCTCTAAAAATGTAGTTTCTCAAAATTCCAAAAATTAATTTGAACGGTCTGACTGAACACTAAGTCTGTATTTACATAGCAACCATTTCTGGATTTTTGTTTTCCACTGCTTACTGGGTCCCTTATACACCTAGACTATCTTAAGCAAACCAACTAAACTTAAAGGAAAGAAAATATGCATTTGTATCTCTCTTCAGTAAGAAGATATACACCATTCTTTCCTCTGATTCTGCTCAAAATGCAGGACATAGGTGAATTTCATTGCAAGGTCATCTATTTGTGGAGACAGTTACACAACATTGTTTATTTCTTTTCTCTTTAGCATCCACAAAGAAAACTGTAAATGTGCTCTCTAAAGGCAAAATAATTTGTCACTCTCCTTTCAATATAGTCCCTACAGATTGAGAGGAAAAATTTTTTTTGGGGGAAAAAAAAAGCTATTGAACAGAATAATTGTTACACAATTGTTTCCAAAGTCAAGCATTTTATTCCAACTCAGAGCCTTAGTAACTCTTACTTAATATCTACAGTTACTAAACTAGGTTTTGTTACTTAGCCCATTGCAGGTTAGAAGCAAAAAACCAAAGCTGGGAAGCAGGGGCACTGTTTGAAAGGGAAAAGTGGCCTCAGAAGTGACAATTATAGTCTAACATCAAAGTAAGTAAAAAGCAAACTAAAAAATAGAGATTACAATGGAGTAGATTTACAGCGGTGATTCTTAGTTATCAAGAAAAGACTTATTTATGGTCTGTACCCTCTCTCTATTTAAGAAGATAAAGCAGTATATTTTGTGTTCGACATTGACATGAAATTGATAAGCGAAATTCCATACCTTTACCATTTGTTTTCGGTACCCAGAAAATGCACGTGATTATCCGATAGCACAGACAGATTTGGCATTACTGTATGGCTTTATTTATTTTTTTAACTAAAGGGTTATTTTTAATGGTTGGAAAGAAACTAATTCAAAGGCTGATATTCCCCTAAGGTGACCCTGTCAAAGGAAAATGTTATGTTAAATAATCTGGCCACCGTCCAATAAGCTTCCAAAGTGTACCAAGAGGAATTCAGAGTAATATTTTTGCAGATTGCGCATGAATATTAGTCATCATTTCATTGTTACTATGTACTTACTAAGCACAAATTATATATCCAGGGCACTGTGACACATTTTAAGTGAGACTTAAAGTAGAAAAACAGTCAGTATCGTCCAAGAACGGTAATGGCTGTTAGTAGTGTTAGTCATGGAAACTATATTCGTAACTGGCCACTATATTATTAGTTCTTTCACACTAGCTTAAATATGGGCTGATGCTGGATGCTAACTTAGTTTATATGGCTACAGTTAAATTCTGATAGAAGAGCAGAAAAAAATCAGGTAATTCAAATATAAACATTTATGCATTTTACCCAATAAATGACCAGTCATAAGACAAAGTAGTTACAACCTGTTAAATACTAATATGAAATTGTAGGCAGAAGAGAATAACCTGCATTTTAATGGACTTCCTGGAGGTTTTTAACCTTGGCTAAATCCTCCGTGAAATGGGTTCCATGATTCTTTTAAATACACCCTGTGTTCTAGAATATCATGAGGCACATTGTAAGCTGTACTTTGGTTCACAGATTGCAACAGTAACATGTTGAGAATAATTCCCATTCTGGTTTCATCTGTGGGTGTGCTCATAGGGTTTCGATGCTTTTTGTTTGCAGGGCACAATGGCAACGCTCAAGGAAAAACTGATTGCCTCAGTTGCAGAAGCAGACACCTTGGTCCCCAACAGCAAGATCACTGTAGTGGGTGTTGGACAAGTTGGTATGGCGTGTGCCATCAGCATTCTGGGAAAGGTACGCTTCAGGAACACCATACAAGACAGACAATTTCAGCATGTGTATACAGTCTCCTTAGGCACTTCAGGATTTTATTGTCCCGTTGAAAGATTTTTTTTCTGACTAAATTGCAGACATCATGACACTTCATCTTTAAATACTTAAGCACGCCTTGCCTCAGAGGATTATATTCTCCAGTATAACCACAATAGAGTCACTAAGCTCAGGAAGCAATATTATTATCTCATATAAACCAGTCACCATCAAGTTGATTCCGACTCATGGCAACCCCACATGTGTCAGAGTAGAACTGTGCTCCACAGGGTTTTCAATGGCTGATTTTTCAGAAGTACATCGCCAGGCCTTTCTTCTGAGGCACCCCTGGGTGGACTCGAACCTTTAACCTTTTGGTTAAGATTGTTAACCACTTGCACCAGCCGGGAACTCCCATTATCCAATATACAGTATTCGTATTTAAAGTTCTCCATTTGTTCCAGTAATGCCCTTT